AAGCATACACAAGTTTCATTAGCCAAATCGACCAAGCAGAAGAAAGGATATCAGAGATTGAAGATCAACTCAATGAAATAAAATGAGAAGGCAAGAATAGAGAAAAAAGAGTGAAATGAACAAAGCCTCCAGGAAATATGGAATTATGTGAAAAGACCTAATCTATGTTTGATAGGTGTACCTGAATGTGACGGAGAGAATCAATCCAAGCTGGAAAACACTCTTCAGGATATTATCTAGGAAAACTTCCCCAACCTAGCAAGCCAGGCCACCACTCAAGTCCAGGAAATACAGACGACACCACAAAGATATTCTTCAAGAAGAGTAACCCCAATGCACATAATGATCTGATTCACCAGAGTTGAAATGAAGGAAAAAATGCTAAGGGCAGCCAGAGAGAAAGGTCAGGTGACCCACAAAGGGAATCCCATCAGACTCACAGCGGATCTCTCAGCAGAAGCCCTACAAGCCAGAAGAGACCCAGGGCCAATATTCAACATCCTTAAAGAAAAGAACTTTCAACCTAGAATTTCATATCCGCCAAACTAAGCTTCATAAGCAAAGGAGTAATAAAATCCTTTACAGACAAGTGATTGCTGAGAGATTTCATCACCACCGGGCCTGCATTACAAGAGCTCCTGAAAAAAGTACTAGAAAAGGAAAGGAACAACCAGTACCAGCCACTCCGAAAATGTACCAGATGGTAAAGACCATCGACACCATGAAAAAAATGTGTCAACTAATGGACAAAATATCCAGCTAGCATCAAAATGGCAGGATCAAATTCACACATAACAATATTAACCTTAAATGTAAATGGGCTAAATGCCCCAATCAAAAGACACAGTCTGGCAAACTGGATAAAAAGTCAAGACCCATCGGTGTGCTGTATTCAGGAAACCCATCTCACATGCAAGGACACACATAGGCTAAAAATAAAGGGATAGAGGAAGATTTACCAAGCAAATGGAGAGCCAAAAAAAAAAAGCAGGAGTTGTAATCCTAGTCTCTGATAAAACAGACTTTAAACCAACAAAGATCAAAAGAGACAAAGAAGGGCATTACATAATGGTAAAAGGATCAATACAACAAGAAGAGCTAACAATCCTAAATATATATGCACCCAATACAAGAGCACCCAGGTACATAATGCAAGTTCTTAATGACCTACAAAGAGACTTAGACTCCCACACAATAATACTGGGAGACTTTAACACTCCACTGTCAATATTAGACAGATCAACGAGACAGAAAGGATATCCAGTACTTGAACTCAGATCTCAACCAAGTGGACCTAATAGACATCTACAGAAATCTTCACCCCAAATCCACAGAATATACATTCTTCTCAGTACCACATTGCACCTACTCTAAAATTGACCTTATAATTAAAAGTATATCACTCCTGAGCAAATGCAAAAGAACAGAAATCATAACAAACAGTCCCTCAGACCAGAGTGCAATCAAATTAGAACTCAGAATTAAGAAATTAACTCAGAACCACACAGCTTCATGGAAACTGAACTGGCTCCTGAATGTCGACTGGGTAAACAATGAAATGAAGACAGAAATAAAGATGTTCTTCGACACCAACGAGAACAAAGACACAACATACCAGAATCTCTGGGACACATTTAAAGCAGTGTCTAGAGGGAAATTTACAGCAAGAAATGCTCACATGAGAAGCGAGGAAAGATCTAAAATTGACACTCTATTGTCAAAATTGAAAAAGCTAGAGGAGCAAGATAAAAAAAACTCAAAAGCTAGCAGAAGAAAAGAAAAACTAAGATGAGAACAGAACTGAAGGAGATAGAGACATAAAAAACACTTCAAAAAGTCAATAAATCCAGGAGCTGGTTTGTTGAAATGATCAACAAAATAGACCACTAGCCTGATTAATATAAAAGAAAAGGGACAATAATCGAATAGAGTCAATAAAAAATTATAAAGGGGATATCACCACTGATTCCACAGAAATACGTACTACAATCAGAGATTACTAAAAACAACTCTATGCACATAAACCAGTAAATCTGGAAGAAATGGATAAATTCCTGGACACGTGCACCCTCCCAAGCCTAAACCAGGAAAAAGTTGAAACCTTGAATAGACCAGTAACAAGGGCTGAAGTTGAGGCAGCAATTAATAGCCTACCAAACAAAAAAGTCCAGGTTCAGATGGGTTCACAGCTGAATTCTACCAGACGTACAAAGAGGAGCTGGAACCATTCCTTCTGAAACTATTCCAAACAATACAAAAGGAGGGAATCCTTCCCAAATCATTTTATGAGACCACATCATCCTGATACCAAAACCCAGAAGAGACTCAACAAAAAAAGAAAACTTCAGGCCAACATGCAGATGAACATAGATGCAAAATTCTTCAATAAAATACTGGCAGACCAATTGCAACAGCGTATCAAAAAGCTTATTCATCATGATCAAGTAGGCTTCATTCCAGGGTTGCAAGGCTGGTTCAATATATACAAGTCTATAAACATAATCCACCACATAAACAGAACCAAAGACAGAAACCACATGATTATCTCAATAGATGCAGAGAAGGCCTTCAACAAAATTCAACAGCTCTTTATGCTAAAAACTCTCAATAAACTAGGTATTGAAGGAGCATATCTCAAAACAATAAAAGTTATTAATGACAAACCTACAGTCAATATCATACTGAATGGGCAAAAACTGGAAGCACTCCCTTTGAAATCAGGCACTAGAAAAGGATGCTCTCTCTCACCACTCCTATTCAATATAGTATTGGAAGTTCTAGCCAGAACAATTAGGCAAGAAAAAAAAAATAAAGCGTATTCAATTAATAAAAGAGGAAGTCAAACTGCTCTATTTTCAGATGACATGACTGTATATTTAGAAGACCCCATCGTCTCAGCCAAAAATCTCCTTAAACTGACAAGCAACTTCAGCAAAGTCTCAGGATACAAAATCAACGTGCAGAAATCACGAGCCTCTCTATACACCAATAACGGACTAACAGAGAGTCAAATCATTAGCAAACTCCCATTCACAATTGCTACAAAGAGAATAAAATACCTAGGAATAAAACTAACAAAGGATGTAAAGGACCTCTTCAAGGAGAACTACAAACCACTGCTCAAGGAAATAAGAGAGGACACAAACAGATGGAGAGACATTCCATGCTCATGGTTAGAAAGAATCAATATGGCGAAAATGGCCATACTGCCCAAAGTAATTTATAGATTCAATGCTATCCCCATCAAACTACCTATGACCTTTTTCACAGGACTAGAAAGAAACACCTTAAACTTCATATGGAGCCAAAAGAGAGCCGGTGTAGCCATGGCAATCCTAAGCAAAAAGAACAAAGCCAGAGGCATCATGTTACCTGATTTCAAACTATACTACAAGGCTACAGTAATCAAAACAGCATGGTACTGGTACCAAAACAGAGATATAGACCAATGGAACAGTACAGAGGCCCTGGAGGTAATGTCACACATCTACAACCATCTGATCTTTGACAAACCTCACAAAAACAAGCAATGGGGTAAGGATTCCCTGTTTAATAAATGGTGTTGGAACAACCGGCTAGGAGCATGCAGAAAGCAGAAACTGGATTCCTTCCTGACACATTACACTAAAATTAACTCCAGATGGATTAAAGACTTAAACATAAGACCTAACACCATTAAAACCCTAGAAGTAAACCTAGGAAATAACATTCAGGACATAGGCATAGGCAAGGACTTCATGAGTAAAACACCAAAAGCAACAGCAACAAAAGCCAAAGTAGACAAATGGGATCTAATTAAACTAAAGAGCTTCTGCACAGGGTGGAAATGGCAGTACAGTTTCCCAGGCTCTAAATGTCAAAGCCACCTTTGATATCTATCTCTCACCAGGCTCTCTCCAAACGTCCTTTCACTAGCTCTTTCTTCACATTATCTCTTAGGTCTTGCCCTTCTTTTCCATATTCCCTGCCTCTGCCCAGCTCTGCAATACACATTGTCAAACTAGGAACACTGTAATAATAGCCAGGCAGTACTATGCCCACATTTATTCTCTAGTATCCCTTTCAATTTATTACTCACACAGAACAGAGATTCATATTTTTAAAACATATCATGTCAGTCCCATATCCATAAAACTTCAATGATTGCCCTGTGGCTTTAAGATAAAGTTCAAAATATTGTAAAATGGTTTCTTGGCTAACTTGAGTAATTTATATACTTATAGACAGCATAACATTTCAATTCTCTTTAGACATGCCAACAGATCTCTTTGATATCAAGGAGAGGGACTATACATTGAATGAGTAGACAAGACAGGAAAAGAGAAGTGGCATGAAATGCCAGAGCTCTCTGGTTCCAAGTTTGAAGACTCACTTAGATAGACTTTGGCATTCTTCCTTAGGAGGATGGGTGTGGCTTATGGCTTCCAGGGTAATATTGATGGATAAACCCCTAACTCTTCCAGGTTATAGAGAGCCAGAAGTTAGGGCTTCAACACTCAAAGCATCAGCCTAACTTAAAGGTTAAAAAATTTGCTATGACATCTCAGTTTATGATGATGACTCAGACATTTTTAGCGCATGGAACTGCAAGGATCCTGTTCATTAGAGCAAAGCTAGCTTTAACTGGTCTCTTTCCCAGAGGCTTTTAAAAAGTAGAAGGACTCAAATCTCCTTTGCTTAGTTTACTCTAAGACTCAGTACTAGAACTATGGTAAAAGGGGATCTCGACCGCCTATCTTACTTATAGGGACACATTTAAGAAATCAAAACATATTTTTCAGAATGTGCATTACTGACCAAATTTATCTTATTAAAGATAACATTTGAGCCAAGCTGATTTACTGCCTGAAACCTAAACATTAGTATGGAGTTTGCTATTAACGTTAGTATTGCTCTTTGGCTACAAGATTAAGTTCAAACATATCGTAAAATGGTTTCTTGGCTAACTTCAGCAATTTACAAGCAGCCTCATATTTTAATTCTTCCTAGCCATGCAAGCTAAGGAAAATAACTCTAATAATACCCTGTCAAAAAAATTCTAATTTACACACAGATAATGATGATATCTGATTTTTCAATTTTAGGAAACTTGGAGAACTTTAAGAAATATGTTTTTCAAATCTTCCTTTTTCAATAAGTCCATAACACACTATAATTTTTTTCAGCCAGCATTCCCTCAGTGTTATTTAAATGAGCTATTATATGCAAAGAGTTTAGAATTATGTCTGGCATATAACAAGCCATATGCAAGTGTTTGCTATGATTAATATATTATTATTGGAAGTTGTACAATCTCTGGATGAAGACAGACCTGGATTTGGATTCTATGTCTGGACTTACTAGGCTGGGTGATCTTGGGTGAATCATTTAATCCTTCTGGGCCTTGCCTTTTTCTTTTGCAAAATGGAGTTAATAATAACTACCATGAAGAATAATTGAAAAATAAAAGATAATGGAGCCAAAATACCTAGTAAAGGAACTGGCGTTGTAGGTAGTAAGTGCTCTATAAGGAAAAGTTATTATTATTTATTGCTGTACTTTACTCTCTCTGCTCCCCAGACTAAAATACTCCTCACTCTCACCTCTATGCTCTCATTTGAGTGAGAAATCAGACTCAAGGGATTCATCCTTCTTCTTTTCCTTTCTCCTTAGGTTTACCTGTACAACTCATTTGGCTCATACATGGCAAGCATACTGAACAGTAAAAACTCAACTCCAAATCTGCCAGACATCAAAGTCTTCTTTAGAAACAGTGTTATTGCAATAAAATTTACATCCCATATACTTCACTCATTTAAAGTGTGCAATTCAATGGATCTTAATATGTCCACAGAGTTTATCTATCAGCACAATCTTTACGGCATTTTCATTATCCCAAGAAGAAAGTCAGCTTTCATCAATATTAACTTTTCTGTTCCTCCATCCCACACACCCCCAGATCTAGGCAACCAATAATCTACTTTAGTCTCTATGGATCTGCCTATTCTGGTCATTTCATATAAACAGAACTACACAATATGTGGTCTTTTGTGGCTGACTTTTTTCACTTAGCATAATGTTTCCAAGCTTTGTTCACGTTGTAGCATGTGTCAATGCATGTCTGCTTATTGCTGAATAATATTCCATTGTACGGATGTAACATCAAAGCCTTTTTAGTTGTGCTTTTTAATTCAGTGTGCTGCCTCTCAGAACACACTCTCCAGAGCCAAAAGTTTCAATGTGAATGCCTATAGCAGGGGTAGGCAAACTATAGCTCACTGGCTAGTTCCAACATTTTGCTTAATTTTGTACAGCTCTGGAAATAAGAATAATTGTTACATTTTTAAATGGTTGAAAAATCAAAAGAATAATACTTTGTGACATAGGAAAATTATATAAAATTTAAATTTTAGTGTCCATAAAAAGTTTTATTGGAACATAGCCATGTTCATTCATTTAGGTATTGTATAAGTGCTTTCACACTATGATGACAGAATTGAGTAGGTGTGACAGAGATCACATGGCCCACAGAACCTAAAATATTTACTATCTGCTATTTTATAGAAAACGTTTGTAGACCTCTGGTCTACAAGATCCAGGTGGGGAGTGAAGTTTGTGAAGTCAGTAGGGGTAATACAATAGAGAATAGTGAAACTCTGGGAAAATATGTGGATGTCAAGTACATGCCACATATGTGAATGTATTCAAATATTGCCCCCCCCACATCCCCCACTTTCAGGCAAAATTCAGCTATAGCCTATCAGTTTCCTGCCTACTCCAATACATGTAAAAGGTATATAAGAACATAATCATGAATTAGTTTAAACATTTTTTAACACTTTATATCTTAATTTGGGTTCCCTTAGGATTAATCCTTGAAGTAAGAATCAGAGCTCAAATGGTTTATTTGAGAGATGATCCCAGGAAACACTAATAGGGGAGTGGGAAAATGAGATAGGGCAGGGAATAAAAGCTAATACAAGATATATGTTCCAAGAAAGTGGCCCTGTGGGCAACTAGATTTAATTGCACTAAGGAAGTTCATGTAGAACATGCACCTCAGAGTTACATACCTCAGAGTTATATCAAATGAGAGGATGGAGGAAAGCCAAGGTTTTATTTCACTAACTCCCATTAGTCAGCCAGTAGCTGAGGTCTCCACCTGGAGAGTCTTAATTCTTTGCCTTCTTGCCTGTCATATGCTGCAGAGAAGAACAGGCTGTGATAGCCAAAGAAATCCCTTAGGTAAAGACATACAAGTCCTGGAAGTTGTAGGTCAGGCTAGTGTTCACTGAGGAGTAGCCAATGAAGGTATAGGGGTGGGGCGAGGGCTGACTATGTCTCCTGCACTTTCTGCGCTCATACAAAATGAAACAAATATGACAAATATTAATTGATGTTTTCTATGCACCAGACAGTGTTCTAGGCACCGAGATTATAGTTGTGAATAAAACACAAAAATCCCTGCTCTCAAGTAATTTATATTCGGGTGAGAGAGAAACAGTAAATAACATAATAAGTCATAGAGTCTATTGAAAGGGACCAAGGACTGGAGTGGGAAGTGAGATGAAGAAGGTGGGGAGTGCCCTACTAAATAAGGCTGTCACTGGAAAAGTGATATATAAGCAGAGTTCAGGGTTCTTGTTTTATCCTCCATTCTCCCCTGAAATATCTTAAAGATAATCACCAAGTTTGAAAATTTTTAAAATCACCTCCAGATCCTACCTTCCAGATCTTTGGTAATATTCAAGGACTCTCAGCAATGTTTCCCATTAATTAAGCTATGAAATAGAGACAGCTAGAAAAATGCTAGAAAGGAAAAGAGAAACCAATTATGACTGAGTTGCGAAGATAGGCAGCAAATTCTTCCTTTCCCCCATATCTGCTTCCATTCTTTGTTTGCAGCCAAAAACACATCTTCACTGAAGCCTCTCTGCAGACACTGTACTCTTTCCAAAGCTTCTCCTGGCACCAGTAGTAGCAGGTGCCCGCTAAAAGATTAACAAGCAGGCACCTCCAAAGAAAGCCTCCTTGAGTGAAGAAATACTTACTGCATATAGAATCAACAGCAAAGCCACTTCTCTTCCCCTTCGAAGAACTCTTTCCAACTAAGGTCATTTCAGGTTTCACATGGTGGGTATGTCTGTTCCTGGCCCTGAGGGACACATTCTCATGGCTCCTAAATCGTCTGTGCCATAATGTATGAGTTTGTACAATGAAATAAACTCCACAGGCTTCTTCCTGCCTCCAGCACCTAACACAACCTCTTTAACACTCTCTTCTGCCTACTTTTTCAGGTTCATCTTTTTCTATTTCCCAAGCAGCTGCTGAGCTAGAGATGGTGGTGTGCAGTGGGGAGAGATGCTGCTGACAGACAGGACTATCTTTGGCTTTTGGAATGCTCCGCCTTTGTAAAACCTTCCAAGATTATTCCACCCTCCTCAAGCTTCATTTCCTCATGTACTTTCCAAACAGAGTTAGCCTCTCCCATTCTTGGAAAACATCTTTATAATAGCTCATTATGTTGAAATTAATTTTATACTTCTCTTGTAGCAGCTAGGCTGTGACCATTCTTATCCATATTTTGGCAATCAAGGCCTTCTGCAGTCTGTCTTTGCTTCCTTCTAATCCTAGCTCATCACCTATTTCTTTCTTTTTTTTTTTGCCACAAGCTCTCTGACTGACTAGTCTTCTCTCTTCATTGTCTCTTTCGCTTCCACCCACCTCAAACAGTCTACGTTCATGAATGCCTTAAGCTGTGGTCCACAAGTGATGATTATTTATAGTGTGTCCCTCTGAATTTTGAAACAATTGGTAGAAGTATATAGGAATGGAATAGGGATGAAAATACCAGCTTTATTTCTAACTAAAGATGCCTTGGCGAGTTTGGCTGAAATCTAAAGCCAGAATGGACTTTCTACTTCTCTACCCCAAATCTAGATCTTGGAACCCACACAAGGGGAACTGGATCTGCAAAGAAGGTGCTCAGCTAGACAGGGAAACTTGGCCTGCCTCCTACTTGGTCAAGCACAGATGGGCCAATTAAAAAAAATGCACACCAACCTAATGATTTCTAACCTATCAGCTCAGTCCCGTAGAGAAGCATGGATGCAGGGTTGTCATAGTCTAACAATTCACCACTCAGGTAAGTAATTCATGTTCACATGGAGAACACTGTATAAGAAGAACAAAGAAGAATGAACACATTCTCTTCAATACTCTCTCCAGAGTAGAGGTTACCATTTTATGGGCTGTGACAAGCATATGAGAGAGACAAAATGATTCCCCCTCAACTGTACATTTCTTTACAAATTTGCTTCCCTTATCCTGAAATCCTTCCCTCTTCCTTTCTGTTTCTACAAAACTTCCTCATCTATCAGGTCTGAATTTAAGTTCATCTTTTGCCTAAAGCCACATCTAATCACTGAAGCCTACATTTCCTTTCTTTTCTTTGGAATACTGATTTTGTATTCAAAAATGATCACTTTGTTTTATGTGACTTTGTGTTATTTACTGTTTGTTTCATATGACTGGTCTCTCCAATTGGATCTTATGCTCATTGAAGGTTTTACAATGCCCACTTCACCTCCTAACTCAGAGCACGCAACAATGCTTTGTACAGAGTAGATAATCAACAGGTAGTTGTGGAGAGGGGTGAAATGGAATGGGATGGAATAGAATGAAAAATAATGGAATATGATAGAATGGGATGGGATGAAATTGCATGGAGATGGAATGGAAAGCTAGATTGAAACATAAAAAGGCTGAAGGTCAATCAAGTACATATTAAATAAAATGCTTTATTATGAAAATGTGATTAAATAGTCATGGAAAACTGTGATTAAACAGAATCCTTTAGGAGCCAAGACATCACGCCTAAGAAGCAGAATGGCCATTTGAAGTTTACCAAGCCTACTTCCTTGTCTTTGAGGAAGGCTGCACTCTATCTTCCCAGAATAGTAAACCCTTCATCCTGATGTCAAAGGTGTTCCACTATTGACAATATTCCTCCTGCCCAAATGTGATTTCTCTCT